TTTTTTTTTTTTTTCAACGTTTATTTATTTTTGGGACAGAGAGAGACAGAGCATGAATGGGGGAGGGGCAGAGAGAGAGGGAGACACAGAATCGGAAACAGGCTCCAGGCTCCAAGCCATCAGCCCAGAGCCTGACGCGGGGCTCGAACTCACGGACCGCGAGATCGTGACCTGGCTGAAGTCGGCCGCTTAACCGACTGCGCCACCCAGGCGCCCCGAAAAGCTCATCTTTACAAATTAAAACATTCAATATCTGAAATCTGCTCTTTAGATTTGTTTACTTCAATCTAATAAAATACCTCCAGATTTTATATTACAGCTGATTCCTAAACTATGATAGGCATGACGAGGTTTACAAGTGCATGCAGAACATTTTATGCTTCAAAATACATATTAAAAAAAATTTAAAGACCCATTATTTTTGCCAACAACTCTTAAAATGAAGAGGACTCTATCAATTACCTTGCACAACCAAACGCCATGAGTCGGTACTTGTTATTTACTGCTACACAAGTTCCGTCAACAACATCTTGTGGCCAAACTCCATGGAGCTGCTGTAATAAAGAAAATTAATGAAGGTTTTAAAAGTGCTGTCCAAATATACTGTAATCAGTATAATTCTCCTTCAGGAAACATACAGTTCCATAAGGCTTGGCTTGATCTGGTTTCACAGGAAAATATCCCATCAGGACTACCATCTGAATCTTCTCCCTTAAAGTATCAACTTCATTCAATAGTTCAATAAATATTCCCATTTGATCTCAGCCCAGTGCTAGCTTATCTACTCATAAAACACTAAAAAATGGACAATCTGCAAACCCAAACTAAAAGAAGATGACTTTCCTGTTAGAAAGTAAACCTCTTACAGCAGAAACTGAGTCTAACTTGCCCCCTACTATCATCCTCACCACGCAGCACACAGTGTTTAACTTCTCCCTTGGGGGCAAAGAGTAAATTTATTTGGTCTAAGCTTTAGAAGGAATTAGTGATTCTCCAGTGCCCACTATTCTCTATTATCCCTTTGCTTTACCGTATGGCACATCACCTGGTATGGCTAACAGCGTGGTACCTGGCAGTCTGACCCAACATCTCAGGTCTACTGTTCACTTGCTGAGACGATTATCTGACCTTTCCAAGCCTCAGTTTTCTCATCTGTAAGTTACTTATCTCCTAGAGTGTTTTGAGGATTAAATGAGAACATACATCTACGTAAATTACTTAATACAATGGCTAGCATTCAACAAGTTAAGCATTCAATTAATGAATAAATTATTAAGCTTAAATGCTATTTTATTTACTTTGAATATAGAAACAATAGATCCAGCTCCATTGTCTGTTTTTATTTGTCAAATCAAGGATGTCTTAGATTATAAATTCTAAGGCTAAGGTCATCGTGACTATTAGTTTAGTAAGCACAAAAAAACCCAGCACACTACAATATAGCAGTCATTTCTGGATGATCCCAACAGTAAACATTAGAAAACCCAATATAATTATAGCTCTGTGTAAAACAGAACACTAGAAATTTTATTTAATTCCCAAATGAGCTATATAATCCACTATTTAAACACAGCATTATGTGCTTTCTTTTTCATAGGAATTTTATTTTTCAATTTTAATAATAAAACTACAAACTATTTTAGATGACAAAAAAGAAGTGTAAAGATAGCACTGAGCATTATTTCTGCGGACCACCACTCAGACTGAAATTAATTCACTGATTTCTCTAACAAATATTTTCCAGCACTCTTCACCAAGCACTGCTCTAGGTGCTAAGGATATGACAGGTATTCAAATACACCAAAACCCTTGTCTGTATCCCTGCCTTATATGTCAGGAAGCTGTCAAGTTAAAAAAATTGTATAGTATATTGGAGGTTGGTAAATGCTATAGAAAAAAACAGCGAAGCAATTACAGGGAGTATAGGAAAAGGATAGAATATTAAACAGTTTTTCCCATGAAGGTACATTTTGAGGAAAGTACTGAAGGAGATATATACCAGGTACAAAGGCCCTATCATAGTGGCATTTCTGGCATGTTCAAAGAACATGAAACAAGCCTAAGCAGATGGAGTAGAATGGGGTAAGGAGAAGTAACAGACGAGGTACCAGGTGTAAAAGGAGACCAGATTTATAGGGCTTTGAAAGCCACTACAAAAACTTTTTGGGTTTTTGCTCCCTTATATATGGGGAGTCACTGGGGGGGTCTTTAATTTTTTTTTAACTCTTCCATTATAATTACTCAATTATATTAGAGAAGAATACACAAAACCAAACTTGTGCATCTCCATAATATCATAAAGTAAACACTTGTGGAGTTAGCTAGCAGTCAGGCCAAGAATTACCAGTATCCAAAAATCCAGCAGTGACCCTCCCAATCAATATCCCCTCACACACTACTACAAAAGTAACCGGTATCCAGACTTAAATGGTAATCCCTTCCTTCTTTTTCTTTAGACCAATACTATTTAAGAACATGCATCCATACAAACTCTAATTTAGAATGGCCTATGTTTTTATTTTCCTTTAATTTTACATGAAATAAAATCATAGCACACATTCCTTTGTGCCTAGCTGCTTTCACTCAGCGCGTCTGTGAGACCCATCCACATCACCACACACAGCTCTGCTGTTCACGCTCACCATAGCCTCAAACACCAGGCTTAGCTCACTGGGCCTATGCCTCCGTCACCCGATCAATCTTTACAGTCTCAGGCACATTTAAAAGTATTTTTCCTCCAGCTTTTCTAGTTGTCTTCGGCAGGTTTGGTCCTAATTATCTAAACCTACTGAAGGGTTCTGAGCAGAGGAGTGACATAATCTGACATATTTTAAGACATCTGTTAAATGCATCAAAAAATGTCAATTTTTACAAAGCACTTAAATAATGCCTAACATAAACATGTCATCAGTGTATTTCCTAATTACCAGTAATACACATATGTATTCTTTTCCTGTAATTTGTATTTTCCAACTTATTTAACAATGTCCATCTGCTTTTCATTATTTTTTAAATTCTTAATTTACTGGAAAATTTTCTTTAACCAAATTTTACTAAGAAAATTAGTAAAAGCTGATCATCAGAAATGAGTTACTTTTTCAGTTCTGGGATTTTTGTTTTCAATAAAAAACATTTAAATCCCAAACATAATTTACAAATATACCTTGTAAAAAAATTATTCTCCAAAAGCTTATTTTTATTCTTATATATTGACATGTTACCACAAATGTACTGTTTAGTACTTCATTATTTGAGTAGAGATGATAGTGGAAAACAGTTTTAGGAATATTAAAGCTGACATTGTAGAAAATAATATGCCCTTAAAAACTTAAAATCTTTTTCAGTCAAAGAGAGCAGACTGAATATCTAGCTTCTCTGACTCTTAAATCCCCAACTTTATAACAGCAAAGATTTTTTTCAAAAAGCACAAACTTGCAAGGAAAAAGAATGGGTGAGGAGGTAGAATCATTAAGTTTTAGAAGCTAGGAAGCACATGGATGAGTAGAATCCTTAACTTAGAGAAACAGCTAAATTTATACTGTAGGGCACACAGAGGGCCTGGGGATTGAGATTTCTCAGAAAGAATGAACCACAAGCAGTGGGACTGGTTCACAGCCTGTAGAAGCACCAGCTGAGCGGTCCCACAGTACCTTCCCACACTCAACAGCTAAGAAATATCCCACCTTCACTCCAACAGCAAAATGGAGATTTTTTTCTTTGGAGAAAAACGAAACAAAAAACAACCCTAGTGGTTTCTGGACCACACTGAAAACATGGGTAAGTGAATATGGAGCCTCTAATTTAACACGTCTATAACTTAAATCCAAGACTACTGGGATGGCCAGGTACGTATTATCTGGAAAGGACTGCAGACTCTCTTCCAATGAGCACCAGATACAGAGAGGGGAGGGAAGGAAACAATCCAGTCAGCTCACCCTATGAAGATAAGGGTCAACCAAACCGAGCAAAACCCACAGCTTTCAGTGAGTCCAAATTTTTATTTTGGGTCTCTGTCACTGCAACCAAATTCATATATTAACTAAACATATATTAATTAACCATAAACTATGGAAAGAGCTCTTTCAAATAAAGGCATTAAGGAAATCCTCAGGACGATGGACAGCCCCAAAATACAACTGTGTTAAAGGTATAGTGAGCCAGCAGCCCAGTTTGGAGCAAGCCAGAAGGTTCCAAGAGAAATTACTTCAAAGAAGATGAAACAAACAGAACATCTAATGTGCCTGAAGGAATTGAGAGGATATTTACACAACCAGCAGACAGTCTAGGGTTGAGTTACTGGTAAGTACATAAAAAGTAAATAAACATAAAGAATAATTATTAATTCCCAGTGGGAGGGAAACCTGCAGGAAAGAAAAAATAATCACAGCATCCATGGCTCAGGTACTAACAGGTTTTATATAGCAGTAACAATATAAACAATGAATAGTAATCTAATTGAAATCAAAATAACTCTATTAGGAAGACAGGAAGAATATATGAGTGCAGTAGGAACAGAGAAGCAAACGAACTTTTTCTACAGAAGGAGTCAATAAACCAGCTAAAAACTAAAAATTAAATACTCAGAGCTGTGGAGATAAACTGCAAAATAACCAGTAAAGAAAAATAAAGTCGTTGTCTCTGAGAATAGAAATTGAGTGTGAAGAGTGCAAGAAAGAGGGAAGGAACTATCATTTTTCTTCAACACATCTAATAGAATTATTTGTCTACTTATATTATTTTTAAGTATAATATATATATCATTTTGATTTACAAATTAGTTAACATAACCCTAAAATATTAAATAAGGGAAGTGGCAGTGGGATTTAATAACAAAAACTAAAACTGGCAAATGCAAAATAGAGAAAATAAACACTCCAAAGTAAGTCATACCTCTGCAGTAAATCTACTTGACACTGGAGTAATAAATCCAATTTTACCATCGTTAAACACAACAGCAAATCCATCAAGTGTGGCACAGTATTCCATGTCTCTGATGTGCACATCTGCAAAACCCAGGAATGAACCTGCTGATGAAAACATAAGTACATGAAATACGAATATAAATACAGTAAATAACTCCCTCACATTTCTCTTTGCAAACCCTATAAGGACAGTTAAAAGGGCAAAAATAATGACCTAACAACACCAAACCATTAAACTATTCCTTCCTACACACACACACTCTCACTCTCTCTCTCTCCCCCCTTGCATAATTAATTCCAAAGGAAAAAAATCACTGCCCATCCATAAAAATATCTAACCAGATTATATCAAAAATAAACACCTGGCTCCACCTCATGCAGAAACTATACCTACCTCTAGACGACTGCAGATCTACTGAAAAGGGTACTGTGCAAAGATTAATAGCTTTCCTTCCGTTTGTCATTCCTTCCCAGTGAATAAGATGAAGAAGTCCATCAGAAGTAGCAACGAGGAGATCCTCCAGCATGGACTGCAAACTATAGGGAAGTAAGCAATTTAGAATCAATGAACTTTAGGAGAGCACACTGGGAAAGCAAGGAGTATGAATGTAATGGCCCTGGAGAATGTTCATATACAGTGGATCATGAAACCACTTACAAAACTGTCATTTATCTACAATTTAGGTATCTAGTAGCTTCATCTTTGTATAATTTAATCTAGAATCCGAAATTCTGGATGAAATACAAGACTATGCGCAGCCACAGTCATGAACTGATCAACTTGGTTAAAACTAGAAATACTCAAACAGTAAATTCAAAGATGAAAGACGATAAATGACAAGAAAGGACAAAGGCAAAGAAACCATAAAAAGAACAACTTATGACAGGCTGACAGTCTGGAGCCATAAAGTACAGAGGTAGTAATCCTCTAGCCCTGGCCACCAGAACCTTCCCCAGTGATGGAAATGTGTTATCAAACATGGTAAGCAGCAGCTACATGTAGTGACTGCATACCTCAAATATGGCTACTGTGACAGAAGAACGTATTTCTTAACTTTGCTCCCTTTGAACTAACTGAAATTCAAGGAACTTCATTTGACTAGAGGCTACTTTACTGGAGCTCACAGTTCTGGGTATTGTTGAGCCTCATGTTGTTCATTCATACAAGTATTTATAAAGCCCATGCTCCACGACAGGTGCCCATGTTCTGTGCTGGCGATTCTGGGGTGAAAACAATAGTTTCTCCTTTCAGAAGACCTCTCAGTTGACTTAAGTGAGAATTATGGAGTATGATCTCCACACTATTTACAAAGAGATTTAACATTTACTTACCTAATGGAAAATAAATGCCCACTTTGCTCACTCTTATGTGCCCAGCCCCTAAGGCAGTGCTAGTTATGTATGGCACGCAATGTTTGTGGGAGGAGGAAAAAGGGGAGAAAAGGAGAGAGGAAAAGGGAATCCAAGAATAACAATGCAAAGGCACTGGCATAGAGGAAGAAAGAGAACCAGGGGAACCAGAGGAAATTGATATAAAAAAGCCAAGGGAATAGATGGATGGAAAAAGTACTTAAGAGTACCAAATGCTAGGGGCGCCTGGGTGGCGCAGTCAGTTAAGCGTCCGACTTCAGCCAGGTCACGATCTCGCGGTCCGGGAGTTCGAGCCCCGCGTCAGGCTCTGGGCTGATGGCTCAGAGCCTGGAGCCTGTTTCTGATTCTGTGTCTCCCTCTCTCTCTGCCCCTCCCCTGTTCATGCTCTGTCTCTCTCTGTCCCAAAAATAAATAAACGTTCAAAAAAAAAAAAAAAAAGAGTACCAAATGCTACAAAAAACGCAAATGTAAGAAAGAAATGAAAAAGTTAAAAATGTGGTGTCCATAATATATACTCCCTATTATATTAATACTATTAAAATTCTTTTCATACTTAAGAAGAGTATATTTCAGAAATATTTTAATCCATAATGGTGGGAGAGATGTTTTTAATGTTTTAATTCTTAAATAAACCTTCAATCCTTTAAAAGCTGAGCTCAAGGACTCATTCACCAAGAATTTCAGACAATGAAGAACTGTTTTCTTCCCAACTACAAAAATATTAAAAAGAGAAGACCATTCGTAATCAACTGAGTTTACAGAAAGTTCACTTTTTGAAATACTATATATTCTTCCCTTTCAAATTTGTATTTTAGTGCAACATTTGCATGTAGCATGGAATAAGTAGAGAATAAAAACTTTAGGTTTTACATCTGCCACTACATGTCAACAGAAGCAATTTAGTGGAGTAGTCACTGGCTTACCAGTGATTTTCATTCAGCAGGAGTCATCCTAGGTTTTTTCCAACTATATTCTCCCTCTCCCCTGTTCCTATTTCCCTAGAAGAATCACTGCATATGACAGTTAGGAGCAAGATCAAGGTCACCCTGCAGGAATTTAACCACCTACTAGGCAAAACTCAGCACTCTTCTGACAAAGTTAACAGAATTCAGAATCTCTACTTTGTCATACCCAGTGCTAGGACAAAAATGACCAGATGTGTGGGGACAGGAAAACGTGACCCAGAGTCAAGAGAAAAATCAATCAATATAAATAGACTTGGTCAATCCTAATGTTAGAATTAAAAGATAATGACTTTACAATAACTATGGTAAATATGACAAAGAATCCACAGGAAAAGATAGATCCTCCTCATTCAACTGAAGTAAATAAACTCATTAAAACAAAGGCTGAGGTCAGTTGTTAAAATACGGAGTACTTCCCTAAAGTTAGTAAACAGGCCTTGCTCCACACCACACAACTATGTGCCCACTGACTGCTAGTGTTACAAAGATCTAACAATTAAAGATTAATTCCTGGAATAAGGGAATATCAGGATTCTTTACTGATAATCACTGTGACAGGTCTTTTCATGCTGCACTGGTTTTTAAGTATTTTGAAAAAATCACTCCTGGGTATAAATACACACAAAATATACATAAATATACTCTAAGTTATGTCCTCAGAGAGCCTCTCCAATCATTGGCTTCATGGGCTTTTTAACAGCTAACTGATATGCCCGAGGTGCCTCTCCATCCCCTCCCCACCCCGCCCCTTAATTTAGGACCTTAGAAGAACAGTATCATCTTGAAAGCAGATGGGGCACCTAGGTGGTTCAGTCAGTTAAGTGTCTGACTCTTGATTTTTGGCTCAGGTCACGATCCCAGGGTTGTGGGACAGAGCCTCGCGTTGGGCTCTGTGCTGAGCATGGAGCCTGCTTGGGATTCTCTCTCTCCCTCTCCACCCTTCCCCCACTCAGGTGTGCACTCTCTCTCTCAAAATAAATAAAATTAAATTAAAAAAACATTTAAAACATAGATTAGCATTTCTGATTAATCAAATATTCTTAATGGGACATATATCATTCATAATCACCAATTCTCAAATATGTAAATATATTTAATACCTAACAAATATTAAATACTATATACTAAATACGGCTTTCCTAAGTACCTGGAATAGAGGAAGACAAGGAATAAACTGTGGTATTTACTAATATTTATTACCTGCTGTTAGTTAGAAACAGACTAAGGGTTTAATTACAGATCGTATCAGTACTTTTCACCTTCTAAACATTCTCTATCCTCAATAACACACATTGGACGTTTACCATTAATCCTATTCTTTCTTCAAGCAAAAATTAAAAGATGGCATATTTGCCATATTATGCCTACAAGCAGAAGTTTTAACTATTATCTCTAATTTCACAGGATTTCTATTTTTGGTGGTGAGCAGGAAGATAGTTGGTTACAAAGTCCAAATACTGTGTCTTCTCTCTCAATGCAAAATCACATAGGATATCCAATCACATTTCCAACAAGTATGCATTACAGGTGCTAATAATAATACTGCTCTGAAAAGCAATTATTTTTCTGAAGTTTCAAGATAAACCTTAGAGATTTCCTATCCCCTAAATTTGTAGTGTGTATTGAAAACTAGCACCTGACTAAAACAAACAAAACCACTTAGCACCTGACAAGTTAAACTTGTACAAGATGACAGGATTTCTTTTTTTAAAGCCTCTTTTTCTATCCCATCCCCATGATCCATACGGTCTGCTGCTGGATATAGGTAGAGAGCCATATCTGTACAGGTCCATCTAGCTTGTACCCAGAGACATTCCAAATTCCTTACGTCGCAAGTTACATTCTTAAAAAGAATCTCTGTACTGAAATAACATCTGAGGTCAAGAGTACCTTTCTGACCAAGGTGATCATAACTTAAACTCAATCCTTTGTAACCCGGATCACACTGATGCAAATAACAAAAATAAAACAACATTCTTTTTCTCTGAAGAAAATACATAAAAAGATGGACTAAACACGGCAAGACAATAGCCAGCCACTTGCATACAATTTTATTTTTTTAATGTATACCAGTATCTGTACTGTATTCTAACAAAACTAATGGTGAAAATAGCCTTTTATTAGAACTGTGACTCAGAAGAATTGAAAAACATTGGTATTACATTTATATAGTTCAATATATTCGTATATCACCATCCATATAATTCAATATTTAATGAGACTACACAGTAAAAAGTCTTTTCCCCAAACCTGTGGCCTAGTCGGTCAGTTCTCACACTGTTTCTTATACATTTTTCAAGAACAATACATATTTTAACACTACCAGCTCCCTTTTAAAAACAAATATTGAGGTGCCTGGGTGGCTCAGTCGGTTAAGCACCAGACTTTGTTTGGCTCAGGTCATGATCTCGTGGTTTGTGAGTTCGAGCCCCGCTTTGGGCTCTGTGCTGACAGCTGGGAGCCTGGAACCTACTTGGGATTCTGTGTCTCCCTCTCTCCCTGCCCCTCCTCCACTCACGCTGTCTCTCAAAAATAAATAAACGTTAAAAACAAATATTAGCATTATTATAGATTACACCTTGCTTTTTTCACCCAACAACACATTTGGGAAGTTTCTTCAGTAAAGAGTGCCCTCAATGTTTCTACAGATGCATACTGTTCCCACTGTGCAGAAGGTAAGAAAAGCTTTTTAACCAGCTCCCTACTGATTGACATTTAGGTGGTTTTTGATCTTTTGCTATTATAAACAATGAAAAACCCTGTAAGCATGTCATCTGAATTACTATATTTGTATGAGTAATTCCTAACAATAGACATGCTGCACAAAGACCATGAGCTTATGTAACTTTGACAGACACTGCTTAATGAATTTCCATAAATACTGTATAAACTTATACTCTCACCACCAATGTATAAAGTTCATATCCCTGATCTCCCCCCCAAACAGTATTTTACCTAACTGTTCATATGTGTAAGTCACTTATTTACTCTCTTAAAGGAGATTATGTAATACATTAACTGAAATGTAGACAACGAAAAGAAATTGTTTATATTCTGTGTCCATTTGTTCTACTGTCTTTTTCTTGTTATAAGAAGTCTTCACATACTGTAAAAATTGGACTTTGTGGTATTCACTGGAAGTATATTTCCTTATTTTCATTGTTTATGTTTTCTTCTGATCATACTTATGGTGGGGTTTTTCCCCCAGTTTTTTTTAACTTTTATATAATCTAATTTATCAATATTTCTTTCCATAAGAAATTATTTGCAGACATTTTGACAAGAAGATTTTAATGACTCCTAACAAAAAGAATTTTGAATTACAATACTTCTTTCGCTAATATTTCTTATCATTTTTTAAAGCAAATCTTATTAGAGATAAGGACTACTGGCCATTTTGATGCAGAGAAGGCTGTAATATCACCGTTATAATTTCATAATTGCATACGTCTGGGCACAATAACAGCAAAAGGTTCTTGAAGGCCAGTTTTAACTCTGAATTCAGTTAAAAAGAACTCTTTGTTAAAAAAGAAACAAAAAATACCATTATAGTGAAAACTTTATGTTAAAAAATGTACTTTTAACAAGACCCACACATCAGACAACTAGAATGTCAAATATGAATTAAGGAAATAAGGCCAAATTACACATACACTTATATTTTCTGCCAATGGATATAAAATAATTTTTTATATTTTGGTAATTCTGGCCTTAACACAAAACCTTTATTCATACTTAGATCAGAAAGCTTAACTTTCTTCCAAGTACATAAATATTTTCCAAAAACTTAAGAGAAGGTATTAGAAACAAAGCCACTTTCTCTTTTCCTCAACTTCTATGATTTTTATCAGTATCAAGTAACTATGCTGTATCATTCAAACAATTCTAGATCTTACCAAAAAAGATAAATTTCTGAAAAAAATTATAGTTGGTATACTCAATTTATGGGCTTTATATATTTAACAAATAACTGAAGCATAATAATGTACCGTCTAGGGGTTAATCAAGCATTTAGAGCTAAAAAAAAATTATTCTCAGTGAAAAAAATGAAATAAACTTTCTTACTGATCATGTGATTAATCAACTACATTGTATACTGTCATCACAAAATGCTAAATTTAACCAAGGTACTATACCTCATGATGGGTGCTTGCAAATCCAATATTTTCTTCATTTCTAAATTTAATGCTGGAGCACACTGTTCTTCCTTAAAATGGGGTGTCCCCTTCATTTGTGGACTTCCTCTAAAAAAAATACAAATATACAGGATTAAAGAGAAAGATATGAATTCTCCTCCACTCTGTGACTCATCTATACCCAATCAGAGTAAACACAATCAAACTTACAAATCAGGCATTAATCCCTAAAGTTCTCAAATGAAAAATGGACTTCAATTCCATTGTAGCAGAGTAAGCAGTTAGACAAAGGGGTTTAACCAATGTAACTAGTGTTGGGGAGAAGAGCAAAGAATCTTAAGGAAAAAAACAAAGCAAATTCTCAAGAGAACCAATAGACATTTTTAAATGACTGATGGCCCTTTCCGAGGTGGGCGACTTTGGGAGATACACAACGTTTCTACCTACTGCATGTCCAAAGGGATCCAAATCCTCACCTCATCTTACCTTATGCCACACAACATCCTCGTTCCTCTATCCTTTGGGTTATGTATCAGAATTAAGGTCAATTCAGGGATGCGACAGGAAATGTTTCACATAAAACTTGGTAATAAATGGCAAAATGGCAAAATGGCTACACCTGGTAGCTCCCTGCTACACGAGAGGTGACTAGATCAATGGCAACATAATTGAGCCGCCACACACAACCCCACAAAAGGACCACACGATAGTTCTGGGATCTTTATCTCTGCATGCATGGGACCATTCTTTCTCAATTCCTGTGCTGGGATTTAATAGCTGTCTCTTCTCTTGCTACCAGCTATCACTTACCCTTGGTTACAATGAGCCTGCCATTTCTCCCCCTTCAGTCACCTACACTATTAAAATTATGTGTAAACAGTCTAACACTCAACAGCTTTTAAGGTTCCTGGCTTGGTGAAAATTGATACTTTTTCTGCTTTCTGGTTTTAAGTTATTTTCCATATAGAAGCTTGGCGGTACTTTATCCTGGTCTGTGACTGCCATGACCTGGAATATCTGACTCCTTGTGTACGTCTGAATGGCTAAACTGGTTAATGTTACACCACACAGGTTCAGATTTAATTAACATGCTTGCTGTGACAGCTACTAAGAAAGACACCATGAGTTATTAGTTTACAGAACTCCTATCTGGACTGCTAATCACACACACACACACACACACACTATAATGCATCTCCTGAGACATTCTCCACATATATCTAGTTTTAAAGTTATTTTTCAAAGTACTACATACACACCATTTAAACCAATAGTGCTAGAAAGCTTATGACAAAGGGGAAAAAACAGGTTTTTTTTGTTTTTGTTTTTTTGTGAGGACACAACCAGCTTCAGTTTTTAGCTATTACCTTCTTCTAATTACCTGGATGTTTTCCCACAATACATTCACGCTGCTTCAGCATCATTATTTAGACATTATCTACTAACTTCCCATTCTTATTCTCCATTTTTCCCCATCCTCCTAAGCACACAAAAATGTTTTCATTACAATGATTAAATAATTTTTACTTCTGGGTCAAGAAGTATTCAGTTCTATGTAAGTATTAACTTAAATAGCTTGTTAATTTTCCTGAAGTGAACTTTACTGCATACTTTCATTTATTTGGTTTTCTTTAAACTTATACCTAAGTTTTCTCTAAACTTATACCTAAGTTTTCTCAGACTCCTTAACAGCTTTGACAAAAACAACTCTCAATATAGTCTTCTATGTGGTCAAACTTGTCACAATAACCTATTATTTCCTCCCCCTGCCCCACATCTCTCCTGGTGCCCAATGCCCTAGTGACTAAGTCTATTGCAAAGTATCATCCTGATAATTTCCTTTGTCATCATCCTGATGACTTCTTTGCTTCTTTCCTATGAGCCTTTATTTTTTTTTATTCCTCTTACTGGGGTTACATATTCTTGTGGGTTCCTGGAAAGGTGTTATGTGGAGGAACTGAGCAATTCTCAAGTCCAATATGTCTTTGACACTTGAATGGGTATTTGGGTAGAAATTTTTAGGCTGCATATCGCAACATAAGATGACGCACATGCAAAGCAATTTATTATATCAAAAGACTGTTACAATCAAAATATGTATCACAAGAATAAAGTATTATGCAGCCCCCTACCCCCCCAAAAAAGGAAAGGTGGAAGAACTCTCTAGACTCCTTGGAACGATCTCTGGGGTCTGTTGTTAAGTGAGAAAAATCAAGGTGCACAACAATGTATATAATCTGCTACATTCATACGACAGGGAAGGAAATAACAAATGTTCATACACATGTGCTGAATTTAAAAATGAAAGAAGAGCCAAAACTAACATGAAAATGGTTCTCTACGGGGGAAGACAGAATACAGGGGAAAGAATGCCACATTTTTTTAAACTTTGGGACATGAAGATATTTCATGTAATAAACCAAATTATAATTAAAATCGACAATAACCAATCTCTAAAAACAGAAAAGAAACGAACCTAACTGTACATCAAGCTAGCAGCACAAATAAGAATTATTTCAAGTAACTTTGAAACACAGTAGTTTGTGCATCCTTAATGGGAAACTTCCTACGGACAAAAATCAAATTGTATTCAGTAATAATACTGTTATAATAATAGTGGTTATTATTTTGGAGTCACTCTGTATACAAAAGGATAAATCAAGTAAGTGATTATGTTTACATTATTAGGAACCAAGATTATCAATAAGAGAAAATATACAAATATAAAACTAGAGAAGTGAAACTGTAACTTTTAAAACTTTAAAAAATTTTAAAGCTTTTAAAAACTTTTAACTTCTATCTTAATCTTTAATTTGAATTAACGATATCAGTATTAACTCACAGTATCTTTTCTTCTTTCTAAAATTTACTTTTTATCTCTGTGCACTAAAAAGTCCTAAAAGCAAGTAACCAATAACAATCAGCATCAAGCCAGTCTTCAAAATATTATTTTGCACAGAAAGAAGTCAAAGGTCTTTGGAGAGTTGACTTACTCCAAGACAGGGGCAAAGAATTGCTAAGATGAGCCTTGGATCTGACAAGCAAGGATGCCATTTAAATAACACCATTTTTATGGGCTCTCTGACAGGCTAACGATGTGATAATCTGATCAAAAAGAATGACTGCAATTGGTTAAAACTCAAAAATGTAAAAACCCCTGCATTTACAACAATAGTAAAAGCACTCATTAGTTGGTTGTGTCTGGAAGTTCTTAGGACACAACTGGTTACTATAAGAAAAGGGAAAGAATCAACCATCTATTCTTTCTTCTTGTAGACTATATTTCAGGGTAAACATCAAATAGATAATGAAATAAAGTTTTTCTTTATATAATGACAGCTACAGAATGCAGCACAAATGGTACAGTTTTTTAAAAATCACAATTTTGGGGGTGTCTGGGTGTCTCAGTTGGTTAAGCGTCCGACTTCAGCTCAGGTCATGATCTCATGGGTCATGATTCTAGCCCCACACCGGGCTCTGTGCTGACAGCTCAGAGCCTGGAGCCTGTTTCAGATTCAGTGTCTCCCCCTCTCTCTGTCACTCCCACGCTTGTGCACTCTCTCTCTCAAATATAAACATTAAAAAAAATTTTTTTAATCACAATTTTGTGATCCCTATCAAAATAACAGATGCAGGGAACAAAATTAATAAGTGCATACACCAGTAGGCAGGTAAAAAGTACAAACTTAACACATATCCACCAAATGCAATAGATCCTGGTTTGAACAAATTCCTAAAAAGACAGCTCTGCATTAAAACGGAGACTGATATTAATAAATTACTAATTTTGTTAGATATAATAGTATTACAGCTTTGTTTCTTTAAAATGTCTACTTGTTGCTGATAAAACTATTTGAGGTTGAAATGATACAGTATATGAAATATGCTCCAAAATACTCAAAGCATACATAAGTATGATAACCTGAGAGATATTGATAACTTGTGAATGTGGGAGATGGGTTCAGAGTTTACCATTAGACTGTTATACTGACAAATTCCTTAACAAGAGCTCAAATGGATTTCTTTCTTTCAGCATTTTAAAGGCTTTCTGCCAATGTTTTTTAGACTCTAATGTGTGGTTGTCAAGTTCAATGACATTCTTATTCAAAGACTATTTTTGATCTGTTTTTCCCCATCAGGAAGTTCTTAGGAGTGTCCTTCCTTTGATTTCCAGGGAGTTATAAAATTTGAGAACAGTGTACTTTTTTAACAAGTATGTGGACTTACCATTGTTTGCACCAAACAAGCTACTAACAAACAGTCTTTAGTTTAGGTCTGGGAAATTTACATGTTTTGTTTCCTTAACATACTAATAAGATTCTCCACTTCTGTCTTCTCTTTCTGGAGCTCCTACAAGATTAGATACTGGACCTCATATGAACCTCTAATTCTCGTTTCTTCCCCTCTCACCTGGACAGTACCTCAACCATTTCTTCCAATGCTTCACTAAATTTGAAATTTCTGCTTTTGAAATTTCATCCCAGAAACACTGTCACCCACCTCCCCTTTTTTCTTGCACACCAGTTTTCTTCTTTTAATTAGATTACACCTGTCTGAGGTTGCGAATTTTCATTTCCTCAAAGCGTTTTTGTTCCCTAGTGTCTATTTCCTTTTAGTTTCCTTTTTTCTGTTGTGTCTCTCTGGAAGCTCTAAGATGCCTAACAATTCCTAGGTGTGTCCATTATGTGTTCAACAGGTTAACAAGAAAAATTACAAGCTCTAATTACAAACTCTGTGTGTTCAAGTTGGGCTTTTCAACTGGTAGAGGCCAGCTGGCATTTTTGTTGAGATCTTCAAATATCAGGGCCTTTTCGGTCATCTTTCTGGAGTGATTTAATTTTCCCAGGAAGGATCCCTCAATGCCGCCCGGGGTATCAAGCATAGAAGCTCGAAGTCTAGAGCCAAGCAGGGGACAAAGGCTCACCATCCTAACGTTCAGTGTGACAACTTTCATTTAATCCCCATCTTTAGTTTAGCAGCTCACCCTTGCCCTACTCTGTGTCTGGAATCCCTCTGGCTTATCAGACAATATACTTCCCGTCACTTGTGATGCGGAAACATAAAATACATAAAATTCCTCACTCCTTATTCAATTTTTTAAAACAACC